TTTAATGACGCTCTTAATTATTATAAACAAATCTGTTATCAATTTAAAAAACAAAGGTATCAAATTCGTGGCAAATAGTCCCAGGACAACTTTTTTTAAATTGTGCAAAAATACAGGCTTTATAAATATGAAAAAATAATTTTTGAAAAGTTGTTTTTTTTTTCATCTTGGTTTCAGGCTTGATAAAACAATTTTCTGGAAAACGTCGGGCTGAAACCAATCTACAAATTGTTCAAATAATTGCACAGCAAGAGGTAATGCACTACGAAGAGTCAACTTCCAATAGTTGCATATCTGATTCGAACTTCTATGAAAGTCCACTTATTTCGCCAGACCAAGGAACCATTCCCCTTTAACATAATCCAAGTACCACTAGTGCAGATTGCTAACAATCATTTCCGACTTTAGCAGTCACCTTTTTAAGAGTGTATACTCCTAAAACTCCTACTATTTATGATTTTAATAGAAAAGTGCATCGAGTACAACATACCACTGGTTCTTGCATTTGTCGATTACGAGAAAGCTTTTGATTCTGTAGAGTTTGAAACAATACTAGAAGCCCTAAATCAAAGCCGAATAGATTACAGGTACACGACACTAATCAAAAACATCTACGAGAACGCTACATTAAGTATACGACTACACGAAGACACAGAAAAATTCAGCTTAGGTCGAGGAGTTAGACAAGGAGACAATATTTCACCAAAATTGTTCATGGCAGCTCTAGAGTCAATATTTAAAAGCACTCAATGGCAAGATATGGGCATCAATATAAATGGAGAAATATTAAATCACCTAATATTTGCAGATGATGTTGTATTAATCGCAGATAATTTACAAGATACAGTTTCTATGATGCATTCGCTTAAAAGTCTGTCTGAAAGAGCAGGATTAAAGATAAACTTTGAGAAAACTAAACTTATAACAAATCTCGTAATCAGTGGACATATAACTATTGACAATAATACCATACAACAAACAGACACTTACAAATATCTGGGACACGAAATCAAAATAAGCAGAGACAATCAAACACATGAAATGCAGAGGCGAATAGGCCTAACTTGGGCAGCATTTGGCAAATTAAACCATATTCTAAAAAGTTCAATTCCCATGTGTCTCAAGCGAAAGGTTTATAACCAATGTATTTTACCTGTACAAACTTATAGAGCGGAGACTTTAACACTCACGCAAAAATCTGCGAATAAACTCAGAGTTACACAACGAGCCATGGAACGTGCAATGCTGAACGTGAGCCTTCGAGACCACATAACAAACAAACAAATTAGGCAAAGATCAGGAGTTCAAGACGTCATCAAAAGAACCACGTCGCTTAAGTGGAACTGGGCAGGGCACTTAGCCAGAGCACAAGATGGACGGTGGTCAAGACGTATTATGGAATGGAGGCCCAGAAACTATAAAATAAGCCGAGGACGACCACCGACTAGATGGACCGATGATATTATAAAACGTGTAGCGGGAAACTGGCTACAAGCGGCCCAGTGTAGAGAACACTGGAAAGAACTGAGGGAGGCCTATGTTTAGCAGTGGACGCGATTGGCTGATTGATGATGATACTCCCTTATAATGTTGATAAATAAAAAAATATAAAAATAAAAATACAATGAGTGATGATTGATTTACCTCAAAATAATAGCTAGTCTTTCTTCCGCTAAAATAAGTTCACGAAAATTAATATAAAGCTTAAATCTTCCCTCATTATATTTAAAATTTCATTAAAACAAGCAATTTTTCTTCTAAAGTATTTGTAAAACCAATATTCGTCAGATCAAAGTTGGGGCATTAATGTATAAAATTCTCTTTTTTGTTGTCTTTCCAAATTTATATTATTAATCCCAATTTTTCTTTTTCCTGGTGAATACATAATAAGACAATCTTTAATTTTAATATATATTTATCTATTTTCCCTTGGATCCTCCTTGTCTGCTAAAGGAATTTAAATGATATTTATAAAATAAATCTTTTTGTTTCAAAATCTGCCTCTATAATTACTATAACTACACAATTTCCTGACATATTGTTGCAAAAAAATTTAATTTGGGATAATCAAATTAAATAATTTTTAAATATGTACATATATATATATATATATATATATATATATATATATATATATATATATATATATATATATATGTATGTATATATATATATAAATATATATATATATATAAATAATATATATATAATATATATATAATATATATAATATATATATATATATATATATATAAGAAAAAAGAAGTACTTGAGACTCGTTTGGAAAAAATATATAGATATGTTTTTTATGGGTTGGAGTCAAAATTATTATTACTTTTATTGACTCCAGCCCATAAAAAGCATATTTATATATAAATATATATATATATATATATATATATATATATATATATATATATATATATATATAGTATGAGTTTAGTAATTGAACCTTAAATATATATTTTTTTAGTGGATTTTCTTGGGCTTAGGTTCATAAAAAAAATTAATTTGATACTAAGACATTTTTATATATTTTTTTCGACATTTCGGCAGAAAATCCATGCCTTTTTCAAAAAGTAATATTGACTAAAAAAAACATTTTATGACAGACATAATACGGTTTAAAAGTTAAACTGTTGACTTACCAAGCATGTAAAAATTCGGTACTAACAAGTAGACGTCACAATTAAAATAATATTAAAAACATAGGACATACCCACTAGGTCACTACATGTAAAATGTATTTTAAATCTAATATGTTGTTTTTTGATGTTAGTTTATCGTTTAAACAATCAGTTATTTTAACATCATAGGCGTTCTGAGATTGTCTTTTTATGTGTTTTTAAATTAAGTTAAAATATATTTTGTTGAAATTTTTGACATCTTTTTTATTTATTGCGTTATTATTTTTTTTATTTGTATAGACTCTAGAAGTTTCCTCTTCTTCCTGTTGGGTTCACTTTTTAGGATCTTGGTTTTCTCAAAATCAAATTTATTCGTTTTCATGTTTTGTGAGGGCGGTTGAGCTTTTTTTGTCATCTTTGTGGGAACATATTCTTGAGTTAAGTAGCTGACTGGTTTGTCCAATATAAACTCCATCACAATTCGAGCAGGAAATTTCATATATACCATGCGATCTTTTTAATAGTGCGATCTTCTGTCTCAACATATACGGTTGCTCATAAAGGGCACAATCTTATGAAAAGGAATTTTACAAGATTAAAAACAAAAACTCCTCTATTAAAAAGATCGCATGTTGTATATGACAATCTCAGAACGCCTATGATATTAAAATAACTGATTGTTTAAACGATAAACTAAAATCAATAAACAACACATTAGATTTAAAATACATTTTACATGTAGTGACTTAGTGGGTATGTCCTATGTTTTTAATATTATTTTAATTGTGACGTCTACTTGTTAGTACCGAATTTTTCCATGCTTGGTAAGTCAAAAGTTTAACTTTTAAACCGTGTTAGGTCTGTCATAAAATGTTTTTTTAGTCAATATTACTTCTTATATAAAAATGTCTTAGTATCAAATTAATTTTTTTCATGAACCTAAGCCCAAGAAAATCCACTAAAATATATATATATATATATTTACATCTGGGCACAAATTTGCGTCCGTTCAGAAAGCAAACATATTACGTCCCCCATAAGCAATGATCCTAGAAAAAAACTAACAAAGTATACTATTTCTATAGAAAATTTAGTAATGTATACTTTATTTTTCGTATTATTATTTTGAAAAAAAAATGTATTCAAATTTTTTATTTTCAGATTATTTTGCTTCTTTTTATATTACTATCTAATATGAGTCCCCTTATATACATCTCGTATATATACATTACTATTTTACATCCACATATGAATATATATTTCATTTTACGTCCCACAATGTTGCCAAGTTAAAATGCACAAACAGTTTAAAACTACGACAGTAATTTAAAGAAAACATTTGTCAACAGCACCGCGTCGGCGCCGAGCCGCACGACGAACTTATATTAGTTATTTCTCTAAGTTATAGGGATCTATACATCAAAATTATATAATGCATAATTTTTTTAAATTATTATCACTTAAGTGCAAAATAGCGTTTTTGTGATCGAAAATTCTTGAACATAGTAAATTATTTAAATTATAGATAATTATTTAATAAAGAATTTTTTAAAACATAGCATTAAACTAAATTAAAATTAACATACTTCTTAAAATATACTCGGTTCGCTCAACTGAGATGCGTTTTGACTGAATGCGTTCTACTTCACGCTAATAACAGCCCGAATAACCTTACTGTTTCATTAAAAAAAAAATATTATTATTGGAAATAGTGGGAGTGTGTACTAAACTCATAAACTTTGTGGAATTTATTTCTTTAAAATATTTTTATTTTGTACAATAAATAACTTTCTCATTTGTTATCAATACATTATTATTATGGTGTAAATAAATAATTATTGATTGGCATAAGATTTATGTCATTTACGTTTGTTTACTCTTAATATTTGCTAGGAGTACGTGTGCTAGATTGTATAGTACCTTATTTTCAGCCACATCTAGTCTGTCAAAATGTCACTAACTTTGTAAAAAAAAATAATTACTAAAATTACTAGACAGTTGTGTCTCAGATTAGCGAACTGACATATCTGTATTGTTTGATATCAGATAAAGTATACTTTTTTATTATAGGCATATCATTTAAAGGCCTATGATTTTAACACTTTGACTGCCATGAGAAGCATGCCGTGATGCACGGCCAATTGGATTTTGTTGCCCCGAGAATCAGCTTTTGATTCTCGCTTGTATGTAATTTTTATGGGTATGGGATAGAAATATGTCCGGCTGGAAGGACCCTCTTTTGTTCACTATGGCGGCAATTTAAGTGTTGCAAGTATAATTTTTGAAGTTTTTTAGGAATAATTAAAAACAACACTATAAGCTTAAATTTTTTTATTTAATGGCATAAATAAAAAACATAATGTAACACTCATTTTATGTACCTTTTTTTAAATATTGATTTTGCACAAACACTTTGATTTTTAACCAATTTTTATTAAGAAATAATTGCGGATGCAAAGATTTTAATTCTTCACATTCGAACCTTTTTGGTGCCCGTTTTTGATCTATATATTTTGAAAAGTAAGCTTTAACAATGTTTTTTTGTTCAATTGTCCAGGGAGTTAGTATTCTTTTCTTTTTGGGTGCAAATGTCTCTATTGTTTCGTCTTCCTTTAGTTCTTCCGTTACATTAACTTTTTTAAAATCGTCAAAATCATTTTTTTCTAGATCATCACTTTCCTCACTAGATTCATCTTCTAAAAGATTTTGGTCCAAATTTATAGATATATCGTCTAATGTTTTTCCTTTCTGTCCTCCGGCTTCACCATTTTCCATTAGGATTAGTAATTTGGAAATTTTCGCCGTTTGGTACACATCGTCTGGTAATCGATAAGAGTTTTTATGAACGGCAGCTGTGTGTCCCATAAAACTGGACAACTGTTCAATTTCATTATCACTTAAATTAAATAATTGTGTGAGCGTTGCTAGATGTTTTCTTAATCTGGTGCAAGTTATGGCTTGAGGATTTTTAGCACCGCAAGCGACAGCATATTTGGCAATTATTTTATATCCACAGATAGGAGTAGAGTGACTTGATCTGCCAAATAAATAAGGGTTGTCATCTTTTACAAAATTAGATCTTACTTTTAATATTTCTCTAATGTGATTTTGTATGTCAGTGCTAAATAGAACAGAACACCTCGTCCCCGTTTACCTCTTATGACAATACGCTTCATATTTTTTAACAATATTTTTTCTGTTTCGCTAACAACTTCTTTAAATTCCTTATAACTTTCATTTTTCTTTTCAGATTTCACGTAGGTATCCAAAAGCATTCTTTGCAGTTCCCCTGGTCTTTTTCTGTTTAAAAGTATAACTCTACAATATATTGTTTCTAATAGAGTATTGTAAGCAGCAACATTATGTGAATCTATTTTGAGTACTTGTAATGCCTTATCTGCTTCTGTAACTAAATGTTGCTTGAGTAATTTTAGGTCACTGGCGAGAGGTACAATAGTAATTTTATTAAATTTCTTTAAATTAAGGTCATTACCAGCCCGGTTTGATATATCAAATCGCCAATTTGAATGAAACAAATTTATTAACGTTTTCAGATTTGATTCACAATTAGCTGTTTCAATGGTTGGTTCATTTTTTGATATCATATGTAACGCAATGTCACAACATTGTTTTAAAGACGTGCCTATATTTAATGCATACGTGGGCGAAACAAATAAATCTTTATCTGTATCATATTTTGCTACTAATTTAGTAGCTTCTACTAAATCGTCATAAAATTTTGGTTTTAGAGCTTCAAATAGATTACTTGTACAAGCCTTAATTTTCTTGAATTCTATTAGAATTCTAGATAACTCTCTCATTTTTCGACTTGTAACATTAATATGATGTTTTTCGCGATGAATCTTAAGGTATCTAGCACCAAATGCACATATAAGAAAATCATTTTTTGCTTCTAAAGAGATTTTATCTGGCCGCATTCTTGGGAAGACCTCATCTTTTAAACGCTGGTCAATTTTTTTAACATTCTTTAACAAGAAATTTTGGCCTTCTGCTTGAGAATGTTTAGATGATTGACCACCTAAACATGTTTTTCTATGTCTATATAAAAATTTAGATCTGTAAAACCCTAGACAGTTCGAACATGGTAGAAATGACTGAGAAGGTTGAAGTCCTTGCTTAACCGGCTTTACACATTCTTGTGAATTTTTAATGAAATTTCCTTTTTTCTTTAGAAGTGAAAGTAATTCTCTTCTTTCTTTGGATTTCTTTTGTTTTGACAGTATACGTTGCACTTCTAGTTCACAAGAATGGTTTCTTTTTAAGTGTCTTACAAAATTGATGACGTCCGTTTCACAGTAATAGCACATATCTTTTTTCCTTTCATATTTTTTAGTTTTAACTATGATTGTTTCATTGTTAACTTCAGTGCTTATATTCTCGCCTGGGCTATTTGAAGTTTGCTCCTAAAATTAAAATTTTACAATTAATTTTTTTTAAAATCTAATATATTAAAATTCACTTTTATAATATATATATAATTTACTTCATTACTATTCTATAAGCTTAATTTCATTTATAAGCACTTTAGTCAATAACCCTGTTTTCTAATGTCGTAAGTATAATAAATTAAAACACTTTAGGAAGAAAGACGTAAAATTGTAGTAAAAATTCAATATAACATATTTTATAATATGTTTTCTTAAAAACATTAATTTTATTCAGGAAAAGAGAAAAACGAAAAGAATAGTAACATTTAATGTGAGAAGCTTATATGAAGCGGGAAAGGCCGCAAATTTGATTCAGGACATGGAGAACATAGATATACTGGGATGCAGTGAGGTTAGATGGCCAAATTCAGGTTCTTGTGTGATGAGTAACTATACAATATACTACTCTGGAGAAGAAGGCACACAAAATCAAAATGGCGTGGCAATAATTACATTTAAAGAAATTGCAAAATCAGTTTCTGGTTCTCTACCTATATCAAATAGAATAATGCTAATAAGAATAGATAGCAGACCCGTCAACATGAATATCATACAGATATATGCCCCAAGTAGTCAAAGCACAGAAGATGAAATACAACAATTTTAATAAGATTTAAACAAAACTCTATTGCAGACAAAGAAGCATGAATCCAACATAATATTAGGAGACTTTAACGCCAAGATTTGGAAAAGGAAGAGAAGGTGTCACGATGCGTGAGTTTAGCCTCAGAATAAGAAATGAGAGGGGAGATATGTAGACTGCTTCAGTTCTGTATAGATAATCAGTACAGAGAAATGAGAGGACCCAGATCTAAAAAATAAATCTGAAATTTCTCGTGGAACCACTTTCTGACAACATCCTTAATCTCCGTCTTTTACAATTTATAAGGCAAGGAGACGACGAATAAATAAGAGGAAAGGGTTACATTCCGTCTATTTATCTAGGAAAAATTCAAATGAAAGTTGATTCCGTGTACCTACTCAAAAATATGAGTAGAAATAAAAAATTAACAAACAGCTGGTTTCAACTCGGTTCAGAGGTGATGCACCATCCCCATACGTCCGTGTCTCTCCAGACGTCTACAAACAGTGACAAGAGTAACAGAAGACTACCTTAAACAAGGGACGAAAAAAAAAACAAACCATGGATGACAGGAGAAATTTTAAACATGATGGACGAAAGAAGAAAATACAGAGGTAAAAATGAAAAAACATACAAATAAATACACAAGAATATCAGAATAAAGATCCAACAAGCCAAAGAATATAATTTATAATTTTACTTGCCTTTATTTCATCTTCACTAGTATCCGATTCTGGAAAATATTCTGGATCAATATCGCTATCGTATATAGGAGAGTCCGGAGATCTGTTCAAATCCTGTAATTATTACGGATTTGTAATTAAGATACATTTTTTAAAACATATTAGAAAATAATTTGAACTAACCACTTTGTCTTTAGTTATACAAAAAAATTTTAATTGTGATATATTTTTTTAATTTGATATTTTCAACACAAAAGTTACTTATGTACGTACTTTTATTTTTCCAATATTGTCATCATTAATTTTATTTTCCTCAGGGAATGGAGACAATGGCCTATTGCAGAACCATCTTTCTTTCTTTTTCGATTGAAAAAACTGGACACCCCGCTAAAAGTATATTTAAAACTTAATTTTTAATGTTATCGTGAAGTTTATTAGCGGAAATATAACTATGTTCTACGAAACAGTTTAGAAAAAGCTCTAAATCCATAGTACTAAGTATTACAAATAATTTAAGGGCCTAGGTGTAAAATCTTGGTCCAATGCTATTTAAATGCATTCATTTTTTTCAAATCCTGAGAAAACTAAATATTTTTGAAAAATTTAAATGAAGATTACGTTACCGACGGCCGAAAGTCCCTTAGAAACAAAAAGTTTCTTTTTGAAATATTTGAAATTAAAAGTCACTTTTTCTCTTTTTTTTTCAACCCTGTAGCTTATTAAAATTTAATTAAATTAAAATACATTATAGACGATATAGTTATAGCTTTCAGGGACTTTCAACCCTCGGTAATAATGTAATATTGCATTCAGCGTTTAAATTGTTTTAAATATAAAATTTCTACTTACATCATCTGAAAAAAAGGGATACGATGTTCTCCGCTTGGCTAACATTCTTAAATTGTCTCACCTCACCTCACAAGCACAGTCACAATTTGAATAATCTTCGAAAATTCGTTTATTAGTATCTATTTATAGATGCACAGTGTTGCCGTCAGTGATTTAAAAGAGGAATCAAAATAATGCATTAAATGAATTAAAAATATACACTCCGTATATTGGTTTTGCGCTCCCTCGCGGATATTCCCTGAATTAAATGTGAATATTATCTTTCACTTTTAATACTTAATTGCATCCTTTAATTTTATGACTACAGCCATTTGGTATGGTTGAGAATTCTGTCTATAAGGTTAAAACAATTACAATATAATCCGAAAGAGTTCTCTGAATAAACGATGTCTTTATCTTCAACAATAACCGAAAAAAATAGAAAAACTATTTTGCTTCCGATATACGGATGCAAAATAGTCATGGACGTAAAATGTTATGTGCAGAGTAATAAGAAGGACGCAATATAATGCTATGGATATATATATATATATATATATATATATATATATATATATATATATATATATATATACATATATATATATATATATATATATATATATATATATATATACAATGTCATTTGCCTGGCCGGATCAGTGTCACGAATAACTGCCCCATGAATTCAAAGAGGATTTTTTTCTCTGTCACTGTTTCGAATTTCGATACTGTACAACTAGAACTTGTGTCTCTTTACTAGCTTGGGCTAGTGTATAATAAAAAATATATCACAATCAAAAAGACACGAATCCAAATCACTCAAAGGCTAAAACACTGAAAGTGAGCCAAAAAGATGATGTTCAAGAGGAAGGTGATGAAATTTTTAGCAATTATATAAGTCAAACCATACTTAAAAGCTACGTAAAAGTCCTTTTATTCTTAAAAAAATAAAATACCAGTGGAGAATTATAAGAAACCAATAATAAAAAAATAACATTTCTCGAAAAAAGAAGAGGAAACATTCGAGGAAAAGAATTAAAATTTATTTTATTTAAAAGATTTTAAACTATATATTATATACACTAAAAGAAGTATATGAATTGTAAATGTAAAATCAAAATTTAGAAACGAATTAATTATAATTCATTTTAGTTTTATGAAGAATAAAACGAAAATGTATGATTTAGACATTAAAAATAAATAATTAATTCACAATAGAAAATTTGTATGATATATAATTTCTACTGAAGATCACTTCAAAGATAAAGGATGGTTAAAACAGTCCATAGTTAAATTTTATTTGTTAGCTACTAGTTTAAACTATATAATCCATTATCAAACAACGCCCTAAATATTTCCCTCGACCCCACACCTCTTGCGTTCCTGTACATCCAACAATAAATTCAATCCAACGACCATCCATATCCGACTACCTATCGATTTATTTATAAAATCACCCCATAAAGCAGCTTTTATAGTTGCCCCGACCCCGGTAAAACATGACATCGAAATAAAATCGGCCGAAGATACCGTTCTAATAAGGAGAATGGACATAAAGGTGTCCATTGTAAAATATATACATCGCAGGACTTTATGTGGAGACTAATGGCCCTAAAACAAACGCAAGTACATATATGTTGGGGTTTATGGGTCGTATAGAAAGCGTTTCTTGAGTGTCGGTAATAGTTTAGAGGAAACAGGCTTATTGTACAATCTCTAGGATGATAGTTATTTTGCTAATTTTAGTCCAGTGAAAACTCCAAGACCCTGTGACTGCTCTAAGTCAATTTTCCTAAGCTTAAAGAGTATATTTGTGTGTGAAACAGATTGTATTAATATTTTGCTACCTTTGGCTTGGAATATTATCTACTATCCGCTTTTTAATTACTAGCTACTTACCTGTAATTACTTTATGCTCTGATATTTATAACAAAGCTACCTCGGTAGTTGTTCAAAGAACCGTTTACTATTCCAAGCAGTTACCAACTCACAACTTCTCAATTTTAAATTTTTTATAGTACAATTTGGCCGCCAGAGGTAATAAGTAGTTTTTTTATTGAGAACTTGTTTCAGACACTATACCATAATTTAAAAATATCGAATTACAAAAAAAACTTCATTTGACAACAATCAGCATCGAATATTAGTTGAATCCACCCATTATTTAATATACTGTGACATTTATTTTAATTTGTAATTAAATTCGTAGTTTAATTCTGTAAAACAGGTTCAACTCTTATCCATGAAATGTATCTTCTATACTAAAACAATCTTCAATTAAAGGTGAGTAATTGGCAACATCGCACTTAAGGCGACGAAACAATATTTTCCTTTTCAACTTTGCAGAGGCGTACCAAAATAATATTTTAATTATTTATTTAAACACGTAACTAATCACCTAAAAATTATAGAGACCGATATAATTATTAAATTATCATGTGTGTTTTGACAGGTAAAGTAAAAGGCCTATAAGAAGACAGGTCAGTAATTAGGCGGTGATCAGTCTGCATCAAACAATTTTTAAAATTTAAAATTTAATTCCAATCACTTGAAAAGTTATTTATTTAATTCCATACATTTTATGATAAGTAAGAATATTTGAGTTTATTCTGTTAAAAGCAAATAAAATGAATATAATATTCATATATAATTTATTACACAAAATAAAATTTAATTTTATTAATGATATAAATATAGTTATCATCCAGTTTACTGTACCATACTATAACTCTCTACTCTCCTCCAGTGTTAAGAAAAAAGATGAAGAAAAACTAAGAATAATTAAAATAAAAATGACGAGAAGAATGCACGGTGGAATAAAGACAGAACAAGGAGAATATTAAAGACTAATGAACCATAAAATAATAAATACAACCGAA